CTAGGGGATCAAGTCAAAATGTGGTCAAAGAGCTTTAGCTTTAGCTTGTGTGCTCTCATGAAAGGATGTGGGCAGAAGGCGGCAGACATGCTCTTGTTTGTGCAAGCTTTCCCCCCTCCCTTGTTTGAGTTAGGTAGAATAACAGATCACAAGCATACTTATCAGAAAATATTGTACTGCAGTTAAGAGAGAACACTTTTTCTATTACAAAAATAATAATTATCATTGGGAGTATGATCAGCCACATTAAAAGTATTCTTTAATCTTTTTCCAGGCCAAAAATCTGACTTGGGCACCTCTCAGGTTTTCAAATAAATACATTCATTTATCTGGCCATTGTATTACTCCTGCACAAGGAAATACAGGGCCTTAAACACACCCAAAGTTTGGATACCACTCTTGCTTCTCTAAGAACCATTTGAACCATTTATTTTCTACAAAATAAGATGCTGGGTGATGGAAATGCAAATATTCCAGTTGGTTCTCAAAGGCTTAGGTGGAATTTTGTCCTAAATGGTGATTAACTCATATATGTTCCTAATCCTTTAAAGCAGTTGCATAAAGATTCCAAGTGACCCTTGAAGATGGTGGGTGGGAGAGTAAGTAGCTCCTTCTAGCCCACTGGAATGCAAGATACTGTGCTAAGGGGGAAATCCTGTTCACAGTGGAGTAAATGTGGTTTTTGCTCTGCTTTTAATGGAGTTTCCGTTCCTTTTTCTGAACTTAAATGAGAATGGGATTTTACCCATCTCCTCACATGACTGTGGCGCGAACCTGAATTCTATTTTTGAGTCTTTTTAAACGGGAAAAATTAAGGTGAAACTAAATCAACTCCAATACATCTCCAGACGGAAAAGGGCTCCTAATTGTTGGGTGTTGCCTGAAGCAGAGACGTGAGCTCTAGGCAAACAGTCCCAGCAGCACAGCAGCAGTGCCAGCAGTGCTCTGGCTGCCGGGGAAGCTGCTGCGTCACCTGGCTGTGCTGTGCTTACAGGTGGCAGCGTTGTGCCTGACCCAAGTGCCCTTCCTTCTCACCACCACGAGTGCAATTGATGTTTGGGATGAGGAAAAGGTCACCATACCACAGAAAGGAAAATGCACTGCTATTTCCAGGAGTTTTCAGTGAAAGTTCAGACCTCACAAAGATAAGGTTAGATAAGGAATTGCAGGGACAGAGTTCACACGGGCAAACTCTTGGGCAGTATATTTTTATGTTGCAAGTAAATGAGACTAAAATATTCCACAAACTTTCACTATATTCTTTATATTAAATTCAGTAGTTAGTTATTTATGCCCCAGCTTTGATTTTGTTAAATAACCAATACCATAATTGAGAGGCAAGAATTTAATCCACAGAAAGTTCTGTCCTTGGAGAAGATCAAAGTGAGTCCTGTGGTGTTAAGCACACACCTACAGTACTTGATCCTGAAAAAATTAAATGCATGTTTCAATCAGCCAATCCCTTCTTACTGGTTCCCATGCATTAATCTAAGCCTCTGCCTGAACATTTTCAGTGCTAGGAGCAAGGACCTGTGGAGATGTCCACAATGGGAGAGCAGGGGTCTGAAAAAGTGGTAAGCAAACGGGTGAGAACCCCAGCAGGCTTTGATGGCAATGGCACTTCATTCCTCTGCATCTACCAGCACTACAGGAAGAGATTGAAAGTCTCTTGGGTGACACAAATACGCCACGATAAGTACGTACAGAGAACACAAAGGTGAAATGGCCCTGCTTATCAGGCACAATTAAAATGAATAGAGGATGACTAATAAAGAGGCAGTTTAAAATCTTTACATGACACAGTGTCAAGGCAACAGTGTTGTGCAATAGCACTGACACAATTAACGCTGTGTCCCTGCCTTGGGTAGAGCTGGGTTCCCTCCGGCCTCGCCCATGGCGAGCGCTGGGTGGGCTCTGCCGCTCCAGCTCTCCACTCACTGCCGCATCCCGGAGCCACAGCGAGGCCCACGCAGAACCAGCCACCTCGGAGCAAGGCAAGGGTGCTTTTTCCACTTTGTCGTCTCTATTATTCTCTTTCCTTTTAGTTTGTATTATCCCAGCCACGGGAAAACATCATGTTGAATTTCTGGGCACGCTTTGGAGTGAAATGAGGCTGAGCTGCCTGATCCTCGATAGGAGATAGTTCTCGACTTAGCGCTGGGCAATGCTGGGTAGGAATTTTTGCAGTTTGTAATTCAAAAGCTCCGGATGAGATGGTGAATGGGAGTGTGATCTTCCAAAATACAGCCGAAGTTATCCCTCTAGTTCATCATTTAATTGTATTAGTGCTTAATGGTGTCTGCCAGGCTGCAGGATTCGCCTACGCAGCAGGGACAGGCTGGGTTTTATATACATATGTTCATATATGTACATATATGTATATATACGTACATATGCACACAAGAACATATATAACAACATATATAAGAATATATATAAGAACAACAAAGAATATATATATATATATGTATATTCTTTGTTATTCTAATTTTCCAGCCAAAACCAGCTCTCTCTTGGTTTTATTGCTGCTGGCATGTCTTCGCAATGCAGCATTGTTAAAAACTAACAATATAAACAAATTTGAGGCTATGCCAACAATCACTGAGCAGAGCCAAAGCTGCCCAGCGCTGCAGCTTGCTGAGCAGTGTGTGAATTTTGCTGTGGCAGAAATGTCTTTTTCCCCATTCTGTTTTAGCTTTTGGAGAGATCTTGGCAGAAAGTGTGTTATTCTAGATGAGATAATTAAAGTAATTGACATGAAAACTCCTTCACCATTGCTGTAGGAGGAGGGGCTCCTGTGTCTGCCCAGCCTGATGGCTCTAGATGCCAGGGGCTGCAGGGGAGTTGGTTGAAACACTTCCAAGAAAACACGATTTCTTTCTTATCAGAAGATAACATTTTTGCAATTATCAGATGAAGTGGTATTTCCCAGTGGTTTGCTTTATTAGAAGAGAGTGTAGATGCTGTTTGCTCTGCTGGTCAGGCTTGAAGGATGGGGGTGGCCATGGAAGTGTCCCAGCAATGCAAGCACACCTGGCCAGCTGCCAGCACAACTCAGGGCAATGGCTATGGCAGTTGTACCTTGAGGGGAAACCTGGTGCAGCCCCTTTGCGGCCATATCCTGCCTGCCTGCGCTGCCCACAGCATCCATTTGTGAGTGCTTAAGTCGTAAGTACCTCAGTTGCAGAGTGCAGTGTTTTCATTATTCCCAGTCTACTCCCCCAAACGTGTATCTCCATGCCCATGTAGGGGGGACAATGGCATCCCCTCAGTGATCGTCACTGGAGTGACAGGGCTGCACTGCAGGCTGCAGAGACACGGTTTAAGTCAAGTAAAAGTGGAGAGAAACTCTCAGCTTGATACCTGTTTATATCTTGCCTGAAAGGGAGCAAGAAGGATTTTTCCCCACATGAACGAGGAAAGGGTTGCTGTGTTTGGTGTGACGAGGCCGCATGACTCAAAAAAGCACTCTGATTGGGAAAAAGAGATTGGCCACTTGTGGCAGGCAGCACAGCCAAGCTATTTGCTTTGCTTCCAATAAGAAAGTAAGTAAGAAATATTAACTGCATGCAAAGGTGCCCTTTCTCTTGTCCTCATCAATAGCAGCTGATACTCCTCAGGCTTATTACTGTAACAACGTCACTTCCCTTTCCTCACTGGCATCAGGTTTATATTAAAAAACTCACAGTAAAGTATTTTGTCCACTGTCCCCTTTTTGGTTCTGCTTTTGTCTTCTGTGCTGTGCTTTGGGGCACATGTGGGGAAGGGGACATGCAGGCTCCCTGCCTATCTGCCTGCCTGCCCCCTTCCTCCAGCAGAACTGAGGGCTGAGAGAGGAACAGGAAATTTGGCTGAGCAAAGAAAGCCAGGGGCGAGGATGCCAGCTGTGGGAAAGGGCTAGTGGGCAATAACATGCTCCCAGAGGGAGCAGATCTCCCAGCATTGCATAGGATGAGGAGCAGCTTTCCCAAAAGAGCTGAAGGGAAGGGAAAAAAAACCAAACCACACACACACACAAATCTAACTTGTTGGTAAGAGAGTGCACTCAGTTTTGGAAGGGGATTACATGATGCAGCTGCTTGCAGCAGCCCGAGGCCGGGGTCAGGGACCCAGCGATGTTCGCCCCGGTCGCTCTGTGGCATGACTCAGGCTCTTCCCACCGCAGCGCCGGTGCCCTCCCGGCAGTGCCTTGAGAAGAGAGAGGAGGGGGCTGCAGACCAGGCTTGATGCCCCAGCTTTGGTGCCTACTGCTTCCAGATACAAAAAGGAGCATGGACCAAACCCGGGAGATAGGCAGGAGCCCATGTCACGAGTGAGAAGCAGTCTCAGCCCGAGTCTCCGGCGGCCCCGCGGCAGCGCCGGCGGGACCCGCTGCTCCAGCCGCCGGCTGCTGCTCCGCGCCCGCAGCTGGGCACGGCTGTAGTCGCGGAAAGGGAGAAGGAGAAGCCCGATGTCCTTGGAGAGGAGGGAAAATAGTTACAATGGAGAAAGGGAATTAAAAAAAAAAAAAATCTATGAGGAAGGAAGCAGCAAATGTTAAATGGGTGAGTCACGGTACGGGATGACTAATCCCGTCAGGGCAGAGCTCGTGCCGCGCAGGGAATCGGTGCCGCGCGGGGAGCGCAGAAGGGCTGCGGGACCCGGCGGGCAGCGGGGGCCGGGCCTCGCTCCGCTCCGCTTCGCGCAGCAAGAGCCGGGCAGGGAGCGAGGAAGGGCCGGTCCCGGCCGGGCTCCGCGGCCGAGGCCACCCCGCGGCCGGTGCCCGCGGACCGGCGGCGGTGACCTACTTTCCGCCGGCTCCTCCCGGCGCACGGCACAGCCGCTCCCCGCGCCACCTGCCCGGCCCCCGCGCCCAAGGAGGTGCGCGCTGCTCCCGGCCGCTCCCCCCGGGCCGCTCCCCCCGGGCTGCTCCGCCCCGCGCTCTCCCCGCCGCGGGTGCCGGTGCGGCGGGTGCCGGTGCCGGTGTCGGCGGGGCGGGGGAGCAGCGCGCCTGTGCAGTGCCGGGGGGCCGGGCCCAGCCCGCCGCGTTACACAACCGGCCGCCGCGACAGGCGAGTTTCACAAGTCCCGCCGCGGCCGCCCCGCAGCCCGCGCCCACCCTGCGCACACCCCCGCGCCGCGCACCGCCCGCACTGCCCCCGCCCTGCCCGCGCCCATGCCATGTCACCGCCGGGCTGCGGGACCCCGCGGCCAGCGGTAACCCCTGTCGCCGAGGGGGCACCGCGCCGGGGCTGGGCATGGCACTGAGAGCGGCTCCGGGACGCGCATCCTCCTAGACGGTACGTACGGACCCTGCCGGGGTGAGGGGTGCGGGGGGGTCCCCGCACTTGCAGCCCGCGGGGAGCGGGGGGAGCCCGGGAAGAGCTGCGGGTCCGGTGCGCGGCACCCGCCGCTCCGCCCTGCCCTCGTCCGACGCTGCCAGGACCGTCCCAGGTAAGTTCTGTAGAGGAAAATTGGCAGCCGCAACTTAAGTCCTCTGATTTCCCCTTAAAAAACCCCACGTACCGGCAGGACGGGCACGGGACGCAGGGCAGGTTGCCCGGGGTCTCTGGCTGTAGAGGGCAGGCGGGAAGGGGGGCTGCGGGGCGGGGATGCTGGAGCGCGGCGCATCTCGAGGCCGGGCACCGACATCCCCGTCCCGCAGCGGCCGCGGACCCCCGGGCACGGAGAGGCTCGGGAATAGCCATGGGCTGAGCGCAGCTGAGAGCTGCGGGGATTTGGGGTTGGAGCAAACCGATTTTCGGGAGTCTGAAATGGGTCTGATCGGAGTCTTCTCGTTCTGTCTGCAAGTTCCGTCGCTGAGGGAATGTGTTTTGCTGAAAACAGTGCGGGGAAAAACCTCCGAAATGAGTTTTGCGCCTAAAGATAGCATTTGAGATCCAGGTTGAAAAGTTACTCCTCCAGCAAGGGTTATTGTGTCGTTTGATTTTATAGAATGTTTACATTATAAACGGGGAATCATGAAGGCTTTGAAAGTCCCTCATATGTTTCAGCCATGGATTTGTGAATGATAACTCCAAGCCTTGGTCCTTAGTGGCAGAAATTGTGAACTGATTGCTCTGGGTAGCTCACACTGGAAGCACAGGTCGGAGCTGAGCCCTGTGTGACTCATCAGTGAGGTGTCACACGCGCTTTGGAGAGCTGTTGTCCTTTGTAAAGTGCCACAATCCCCGAAGGCAGGAGACTCCTGAGCCATCGCAGAACAGGTCTCTCCTCGGTGGATTTTGGAGAAGTCCAGCACATCAGTCCCTTTTGGGACACCTAAGTGCCAAGTACCCCTGATTCCTGAATGAAGTTATCTTCTTCAGCTGTAAAGTGGCCCCGGAGATAATGTCCCTGAAATCAAAGCTCTTAAAATGCCCCATGTCGTACCCACCTGGGAGGGTGCAGGATCAGCTGGGAGGACAGGGTTATTTATCGGCTGAAGTTTATTTTGTTGTGTGCAATGAAAGCAGTGGTGCTGGTTTCGCTGATGGCATGAGATGTTCTGGTGTAGACATGAGAAAATGTTAGGAGTTGCTTCATTTTTGAGCAGAATATTGGTGCTCCCCTGTCCTTATTTTGCTGGATCACTGCTGGCTAAAAATTCCTAGCTCTGGAAATGGGAATTTGCCTTAAAGAGATAGCTTCATGGGTTTGATATGTAGGCTTTACAGTCATCACAGGTCCTATGGATGTTGTATGAAACAGCAGATAATTTCAGGAGTACACAGTGTGAAGCCCTGGTACTGAGCATCTGACAACATGAGCTGTTTCAGCTGGGAATTTGTGTAATTTTTATAAACTTCCTGTGCTGCAATGCCTCTACCACAGTTATCCAGTCAGAAGAAATACATTTGGATTTTTGTTTATTTAGAAACTGTATTTAAAAAAAAAAAAAGTAATCGTTTTCCTGTAATGTGCTAATCAGAGTAAGCCAGTGTGTCAGTGCTGCACTGGGGAGGAACAGAGCCCCGTGCACTGATGCACCGTAACAGCAGCACGCGGGGCTCTGCGGCTGACGGAGCCCTGACAAATGCAGCAGCCACTAATGAGGAGAGGAGGCTCCAGAGTAAGCCAAAAGTGGAAGTTTGTGTGCAAGGGAGGCATTCGTATCTCTTGGGCTAAACATGTTTAATACTGAATCTTTAGAATTCTTCTGGAAGATGTAATAGGAAAAACGCAAATGGCTTTAGGAGTGGTTGCTTGCTGCTCATTTATCCTGTTCATTCCAAGCTGTGGATTACAGTTACTTGATTTAGAGGGAAAAGTAAAATTGGTTCGACTTTTTTTTATAAACTGCACACTTCAGTAAGATATATGATATATGTTCCTGGTTTTAGCCGCTGAGACTATGTCTGTATTAAATTATTTTGTTGGTTTATGGCACACATCAAGTACACAAAAATAGCTCAGGGTTAAAGATTAAAATTAGCAAATGAGTAGTTCATAATTAAAGTCTCATGATGGAGGAAGGAACATTACAGTGCAGAGATACTGATGTTGAATCCAATTTCTGCTCATTAGTAATATCAAAAAATTGGTAGGATGTCTTTACAGTTTGGAGCCAGGGCTTGTCTATGCACAGAAGTTGCATTGTTTTGCCCTAAATTACGCAACCTCCCAAGATTCACATGTAATGGTACAAAGGTTTTAATGCCAGCATAGCTCATTCCTTCAAGACTGGAGGAATAAGCTATGTGCCTATACCAGAACAACTGAATTCAGGCTTGTACTGGGAGAGTTGTGGATCCTAGTGGACTAATATGGCTTTAACCAAAATAGTAAAACCTATAAACCCCAAAATAGTACGAACCAGTCTTTTCTGGTACTATTGAAATTACAGAGCTCTCTACCAGTTCAGTTCCAAATCTTTATCAGGGAAGTCAGGCAGGTAAAGCAACTGTATTCATTTGTTAGGACCTGGGTGAGCCCCTTCTCTCCCATGAATCCTGGCTCGCTGGGGGCCGTGCTCTGCTCCATGTGCCGCACGTCGTCCCGCTGCAATAGCGACTCTGCGCCCATCGGCACAGCCGCGGTGGCACGGCTCACCTGGCTGCAGCTTTGCTGGGTCTGCCCCGTTCTGCCACCCAGGCTGAGACCATTTCTCTTTTTTTCCTGGTTTCTCTACTACTTTTGGTGCCCATAGGACTGTATAGCACAGCACGACTTGCCCTGTGGCCTGTATGCTGAAGGAGCAATGCCCCCGGGCAGAAGTCCTGCAAGACCCTAGTTATTGTTACTCCAACTTCACTTAAGCCCAGGTTTAAGCGAGGTTGATGTGGTGGCAGGCCCTGACAAGCACACTGGGCTTGCTGGCTGCACATCTGCCCAGCTTCAGAACCACCAGATTCAGTCAAACTGCAGATTTGTGTGCAATTAATGAGAGACTTTTACCTACTTCATATTCCTTTATTGGCTTTGGCCTTGTCTACATGGGGAGATTACACCAATTTAGTTTAAGTCTGTTTTTAAAGTGATTTGATTAACCTGATGTGACCTCACATAAGGATATTCTTATTTTGGTTCGAATTAGCTTATTTGAGTTCAACCAAAACCTGCACTTAGTCAATTTGCACAGAACCGAAATTAGATGTGTCTAAACTGAAAGGAGAACTGATGTCTCTAAATAATGACACAACTTTCTCATGAAAGCAGAACCTTCTGCAGAATCTGGAACAGAGTGTAATTACTAACAAATCTGAAGGCAACTGAAAACTATTCATAGCAAAGTTTAAAAAAAAAACAAAACAGGCAAAACTTAAATATCTTAGTGAGACAAGTGAAGAAGTACCAATAATCTCAGTCCTGGAATACTGAAAGCAGTGGCCCAAGGCTTGGATGGCTTGCAACAAGACTCTCCCATGGCTCTTCAGGTGCAAAAGAGGGCAAGCATTTGTGTTCTATACCTGGAGTCCCTATGCAGTCAAAAAATAAAAAAGCAACGCAGGAACTATAGACTGGCAGGTTTGAATGCAATAGTACCCAGCATCTCATGACGTATTTTGTAGGAAAGAATAATTAGATGTGGAAATAATGAGGAAGCAGGCTCTAAATTACAGCAAGATTTTATCAAAGGTGGATTGTGCTAAACTAATCTAATGTCTTTTTTGTATAACAGTTTATTTAGGTGGGGTAAGGCAGGAATGTAGTTTATCTAAAGGCAAGCATTTGATACCATGCCCCAGAGGACATTATTGCCTAAAATAAAGATGGTTGTTCAAGACAAGAATTGAAAAGTGGAAAAGGAGCTGGCCAAGGAAAAGATGCAACTGTTGCCTGAGAATAAAGTTGTCTTGATGGAGAGAGGTATTCAGAGAAAGTCATCAGCATGGAGGGAGATTAGTGGTGTTCCTCCCATGGGATGAGGCTTGGGCCTGTTGAAAGGATCCACTCTGACCTGTGTGCAGGGTCTTGGGTGTGTGCCCAGGAGCTGTGTGCAATGACAAAAACTTGGGAGGTATTGTCAATATGGAGGAGGATCAGATTATCGTGTGAAAGGAATTTAGATGACTTTGTTGATCGGGGTGATAGACATAAAATGACATTTAATAGTGCTGAGTGGGAAAGTTTAAGCATGGAGACCAGTAACGAGAATTTCCAGTGTGAAACAGGAGCTCATCAGCTCCTGTCCACGACAGAAGGGAGAGATGTGGATGCACTGGCTGCTCAGGAGATATCTGGGAGCAAGCAGTGGCATACAGCTGTGAAGGAGACCACTGACATCCTTGGATACCAAAGGAAAATAGTCTGAGAGATTCAGGGAAATGTGATAAAATCATTGTACAAATCATCATGCAGAGCATCAATGCAAGAGCTTTCCATTGTTCATGGAGTAGTTCATTGGGATTTTGCATAGCTCCAGACACCCTGTCAAGAAAATGTTAAATTACAACAGTACGAGGGCTAAAGATGTGGTTACACAAACAAACCATCTGCTATATGAAATGAGGTTAAACACCATCATTTGTTTAGCTCTGTCCAGTTGAACAAATGAAGAGACAGGTTACAGGTTTTTTTTACACACAATTGGTACTAAATAGCAAGAAAGCAGCAAAAAATAAGATAAAATATAGCATCTGCACAAGATCAAATTGTTTAAGTTGGTCATGAATATATTTGGATGCCAAATTAGAAGAAAGCTTCTAGCTACCTAAGGATTGAAGTTGTGTAAGAGTCTTTCAATTAGGGTAGTTTTGAGATAGATCTTGATAATCTTATGAAAGAGATTATACAATTAAATTAGAGAGTTCCCGGAGATAGGAAATTACATTTGCAGAGTTCTTTGGTCTGCAGTATA